TAAATTTTATTTTATATATCCCCCATACAACTGCACATGCCCCATTCTGACCCCAATCCCTCCCCTCCCGGCCCCCACCCCCCAAAAAGTGTCTCTGGTTCATAGTTTTTTGTTGATTTTGATTTTCACTTTCTTATAGTTATTCTTTTTCCTGATCCCTTATTTAAGTTTTCTAGATTCCTGCTATGAGTGAGACCATCCGGTATTTTTCTTTTTCTTTTTGGCTTATTTCGCTGAGCATGATCCCTTCCAGCGCCATCCATGTTGCTGCAAATTGCATGTGTTTATCTTTTTTGAATGCTGAGTAATATTCCATGGTATATATGTACCACATCTTCTTGATCCAGTCATCTATTTTTGGGCATTTGGGCTGTTTCCAAAGCTTAGCTATTGTGCAGGTGTTCTTTGGAATGGATGTTTCTGTGTCCTTTGGGTAAATACCTAGGAGTGGAATTGCTGGATCATATGGAAGCTCTATGTTTAGTAGGTCCAGAAATCTCCACACAGCTCTCCATAGTGGTTGGACCAGTTTGCACTCCCACCAACAGTGCAGGAGAGTTCCTTTTTCTCCACACCCTCGCCAACATTTGTTGTTGCTAGTTTTTTTAATATGTGCCATTCTCACTGGTGTAAGATGGTATCTCATGGTAGTTTTGATTTTAATGCCATGATCTTTTAATGCCATGATCTTTTAATCTTTTAATGCACTATTAAATTCAGTTTGCTAATACTTTTTGAGGATTCTCACATCTATATTCATCAGGCATATTGACATAATTATCTTTTCTCCTGGTTTCATTATTTGATTTGTTAACAGAGTAATGATCTTGAGTCTGGAAGTGTTACCTTGTATTTTGTGAGAGTTTAAAAACCACTGATGTCAATTCTTCTTTAAGCATTTGGCAGAATTCTCCACAGAGTCATCTTGTCCTGAACTCATCTTTTGTAAGAGATTATTAACTACTCAATATCTTTACTAGAAAATGGATACTCTTAGTCTTCATTTCTTCTCTATTCAATCTTCATAGGCTGTATTTCTAGAAATGTATCCATTTGTTCTAGGTTTTCCAGTTAGTGGTGTGTAATTTTTCACAGCAATCTTTTATGATTCTTTCTATTTGTGTAGTACCAGTTCTAATATCTTCTTTTTCATTTCCACTTTTATTTATTTGAGTCCCCTCTGCTTTTGTGGCAAAGCTGACTAAATGTCAGTTCCCTTATCTTAAAAAAACTACTTAGTTTCATTTATATTTTCTATTGTCTTTTATTCTCTATTTCAGTTATTTCCATTCTAACCATGTTATTTCCTTCCTATACTAACACTGGGTTTAGTTTATTCTCTTTGTAATTATCAAAGGGTAAACTTAGATTGTTTACTTGAGACTTTTATTTCATAATGTAGGTATTTCTCTCTATAAACTTCCTGCTGAGACATGCTTATGCTTCATCCCATTAATTCTGGTATGTTGTATATTTGTTTTCATTTATTTCAAGATTTTTCAATTCTTCCTTTGGTTTCTTGTTTGACATTATGCTTATTCAGTAGCATGTTGTTTAGTCCCCACATACTTGTGAATTTTCCAGTTTCCTTCTCGTGACTGATTATAGTTTTATACCACTGTGGTCAGGAAGGATGCCTGATATGATTTCAGTCTTCTTAAGACTTGTTGTGTGACCTAACACATGAACTATGATGACAAATGTACCAAGACTGCTTGTAAAGAATTCTGTTCCACTTGGACAGAACATTCTATACATGTCTTTCAGGTCCATATCTAACATAATACTTAAGTCCAATATTGATTTTCTTTATTGATTCTCTGTATGGATGATCTATTCATTATTGAATTTATTTAGTAGGGTACTAAAGTCCTCTGCCATTTTGTTGCTACTTTTCCCTTCAGATCTATTAACATTTGCCTTGTACTTTAGATGTTCTGACATTTGTGTAAAAATAGTTGTTATAGCCTTCTAACTGACCTCATTATTATTGTATGATCTTTGCCTCTTACACATTTGGCTTAAGAACTATTTTGTCTGATATAATACAGCTATTCTTGCTTCACTGATTTCCATTTGCAAGGACTATCTATTTCTAGCTCATCACTTTTAGTGTATATGTGCTCCTAAATCTCAAGTTATTGTCTTGCAGGTAGCATAGAGTTGGGTCTTGTTATTTATTTAATCCCTTCAGCTATTCCATTTCTTTTAATGGTAGAATTTATAGACCACTTATATGTAATTAAAGAAATGGATTGATATTGACTTACTATTGCCATTTTATTATTTGTCTTCTGGCTATTTTGTACTTCCTTTGTTCTTTTGTTCTCTCTTGCTCATTTCCTTTGTGATTTGCTAATTTTCTGTAGTGTTATGCTTTGATTCCAATCTTCTCATCTTTTGTTTTCAGGCTACTATGAGGCTTACATAAAATAATTTATATATATAAAACAGTCTATTTTGAGTTGATAACAACTTAAGTTTGAACACATTCTAAAGCTTTTTTATCCCCCCCCCCGCTTTCATTACCTGAAACAACTGATGTAACAATTCACATCCCTTTAATCTGTGTATCTATTAACAAATTACTATCATAGTTATTTTTATGAAATTTGTCTTTTCATATTCATACCAACTTTATGCAATTAAATCACCACTTTTAGATTAAATTATTCTGAATTTTGTCTTATATTTACCTGTACTAATGAGATTTATGCTGTCATATTTTTCTGTTACAAATAAGCACCCTTTCATTTCAGCTTAAAGAAGTTCAGTTAACCTTTCTTGGGGCTCCCTGGTGGCTTAGGAGTTGTTTCAGCACTATCACTGTTGAGTTTGATCCCCAGCCAGGTAGCTGACCCACATATGGCACAGCAGGCCTCTCCTGTATCACCCATAGCTCCCCTTAACAGTGTATTTCAGTACATCTGCCTGTCCTGCTCCCCACTCTGTCTCTAGTGAATCCTCTCACTCCCACCCCTGCACCTCTGACCTATACCCCAGTTCATCTATGCAGAAAAAAAAAAAGTTCTTATAATGCTGGTTCATACATGGTGAAGAACTCCATTACACTTTACTTCTCTAGAAAATGCTATCTTTTATTCAATTCTAAAGGACAACTTTAACAGGTGGGGGTATTCTTGATTGGCAGGTTTTTTATCAGATTGAATATATCATGTCACTCTTTCTTATCTACAACATTACTGAAAAATCTACTCATAGCTGTATAGGGATTACCCTGTCCAAAAAGTTTTTCTCTTGCTGCTTTTAAGATAATCTTGACAATAATGTGATTCGGCATAGTTCTCCATAGATTGATATTAATTGCTGTTCACTAGGCTTCCTTAATCTGGATGTCTGTTTCTTTTCCCAAGGACAGAGAAATTTTTATTCCTGATTTCTTCATTTTTTATTCCTTATTTCTTCAAATAGGTTTCTGCCCCTTTCTCTTTCTCCCTTCTATTTTGGGATCTCTGTCTGAGATCCCAAATGAATACTGGTCTGCTTGAATTTCCATTAGTTTCTTAAGCTAAGTTTTCTATCCCCATTTACAACATAATCCCCACTTTCAAATAGAAACAATGGGTTATAATAGTCTGGGCAGGTGTTAAATATTTGACATCAAACATTCTTTAGTTTGATTCCATAACCGAAAGTCTTCTGACTTTTGATACAGTTTCCCACAAAGACTTGACAAGAGAAAAGAATGTGTTGATAACACAGATAATGCATATTTTATTCTATGTAACCTTTTAAAATCACTAAAAATATTAGCATGCTAGTTTTAATACAGCAGTCTAATAAATTTGGATAATGTCAGAATGTGCCTTAAAAAGTGACTTGTCTCGGGCCTCCCCGGTGGCACAGTAGTTGAGCACTGGGCTGCAAAGCTGCCCGCAGCCTCTGCAGCGCCAGTTTGATCCCCGGCCACCGGCTAGGGTCCCACATGGCGGGCAGACCTCTCCTGCTGCACCTGCTGCTCCCCTCAGCAGTGTATTTCGTCAGTCTGCCTGTTCTGTTCCCAGCTCTGGCTCTGGTGAATTCTCTTACTTCTGACTGTACCCAGTGCTTGTATAAATAAATAAATAAATAGATAGATAGATAAATAGATAAATAAATAAATAAATCTTTAAAAAAAAAAAAGGCGACTTGTCTCCTCATGCAGAAAAAGCAGATGTCTAATGTCTGAAGGGTGAATGTAAAACATGTGACTATAGTTGATAACATTGTATTGTGTAAATAAATTTGCTAAAAAAATAAAATTTAAATGTTCTCACCAAAAAAAAAAAAAAAGAAAAGAAAAAGCAGATGTCTATGTACAGAAAATTTAGATCTTAAGAGTTAAAGTAACCAAAGCAAAAAAAGCTCCTTTGTGATATCATTTCATATTATCTGCAACTGGCCTCCTACTCTTCTCTCACTTAAGGAATTACATAAGTAGTCCAGAATATGCTGTCATAAATCCTTTTCTACATAAATCAGAAAAGGTATTTCCAGTTGTCTAAAATTAAGAACCTACTAATACTTAACAGCCATGTTAACTTCTGTAGTTCTGTGAATTTAAGTTCAATCATGTTGATGCTACCACCACTAAAAAAATGAGTTAACATTATGTGAGTGCCTGAAAAACATTAAGCATTGTTTTAAGTTATTTACCAAACATTAAATGATCTACAATCTATGAAAGACCCTTCAGAAGAAAAAAATGGCAAGAAAAATCACAGGTTCACTATTACAGGATACAAACATTTTTAGTAAACCAATTTATGGATATGGTATTCTTAGAAACATTCAGATTATAATCAAATTTTTTTAAAGAATAATTTAATTGGGACAGTAACTTTACCTTCTTGTTCTCTTCCCCAATATATAGTACATCTGTCTATTAAAATTAATACATACTATTCAAACCTATAGTTTAACAAAAACAAATATGACATAGAAGAAAATTCATAAATGTTGTCATTGTGACTGCACATTAGTTCAAAAAATTGCTGTACCTGAAGATTGATCTCTGCCTCATAGAAAGTTAGGCATGAACAGTAATGCCGATCGGAGTCAATATCTGTCAGGACCACCACAAAAAATGTTGGCTGCTTCCTCTCTCTGGACAGTTGCCACCCACCAGGCTGACAAAACTAAATGAGAAAGAAAAAAAATCTGTCACATTTTAAATATACAATGAAAAGTTACCACTCACAAGTCTATGAAAAATATTAAATATTTCCTATTTTTAAAAAACTTTAGTTGGTATGTAACCTCAGTACTGTTTTTTTAAAAATATCAGGTACAATTCCACTCCTAGGTATTTATCCAAAGGACACAGAAACATCAATTCCAAAGAGCACCTGCACCCCTATGTTGATAGCAGCACTATTTACAATAGCCAGGCTTTGGAAACAACCCAAATGCCCAAAAATAGATGACTGGATCAAGAAGATGTGGTACATATACACCATGGAATATTACTCAGCATTCAAAAAAGATAAACACATGCAATTTGCAGCAACATGGATGGCGCTGGAAGGGATCATGCTCAGCAAAATAAGCCAGAAAGAAAAAGAAAAATACCGGATGGTCTCACTCATAGCAGGAATCTAGAAAACCTAAATAAGGGACCAGGAAAATGAATAACTATAAGAAAGTGAAAATCAAAATCAACAAACAACTATGAACCAGAGACACTCTATGGGGGGTGGGGGGCAGGGAAAGGAGGATTGGGGTCAAAATAAGGGGGTTGCAATTGTATGGGGAATATAAAAATAAAATTAAAATAAAAAATAAAAATATCAGGTACAGACTCATAATGAAGAACATGTTCACTAATGTGCATGCATATTTTATGAGAAAAAACAAGGTTTTCCACAAATGTCAGTCATTTTGAGACACATGCATATGCAGGTACATAGCACCAAAATAAAGGGTCTTAACATTAGAACAAATAATTAAATACGTACATATCACTAATGAAAAATAGAAATTGTTAAAGTTTCTTCATTAACCTAAAATCTCCAGTTCAGTCCAATGAAAAAGATACCTTATTCATCAAGATCGACCACATTTTGAGCTATTAGACATTCTTTAAAAAGAATACAAATCAGGTCCTCCCTGGTGGCGCAGCGGTTGAGTGCTGGGTTGCGAAGCTGCCCGCAGCCTCTGCAGCGCTGGTTCAATCCCTAGCTGCTCCCCGGCCACCGGAGGAGGGTCCCACATGGCTCGCAGACCTCTCATGCTGCCCGCTGCTCCCCTCAGCAGTGTACTTCGGTCCTTCTGCCTGCTCTGCTCCCCGCTCTGGCTCTGGTAAATTCTCTCACCCTCCCGCGCTTCTGACTGTACCCAGTGCTTGTATAAATAAATAAAAATAAATCTTTAAAAAAAAAAAAAAAAGAATACAAATCAGGGCCTCCCTGGTGGCACAAGGGGTTAAGATGCAACCTATGAAGCTATCAGCACCCACTGAGCACGAGTTTGATCCCCTGCCAGGGAGCTACCCACATGGCACAGCAGACCTCTCCTAACTCGCCTGTTGCTCCCCTCAGCAGTGTATTTCAGTAGATCTGTCTGCTCTGTTCCCCACTCTGTCTCTGGTGAATTCTCTCAGCAGACCTCTCCTGTCTTGCTGGCGGCGCCCCTCAGCAGTGCATGTCAGTAGATCTGCCTGTTCTGCTCCCCACTCTTGTCTCTGGTGACTCCTCTCAGCCCCCACAACTTTGGCTTACACCCCAGTTCTTAAATGCATAAATCTTAAAAAAAAAAAAAGAGATAATCTGGAAATATATCTTTGAAAATAAATTAGGTCAAAAATTAATAACCTTTCAAAACAGAAAGCATCAGGCTAAAATGAGTTCACTGGTGAATTCTACTAAGCATTTAAGTAAGAAACATTACCATTCCATACATACAATCCCTACCAAAAGAAGGAAGCATAGGAAATATTTCCTTGATTCATTATGTAAAACCAGCATTGTCTTAATACCAAAAAAGAAATCCCAAGAAAATTACAGACCAATATCTTTCATGAACATATTTCAGGTATGTTTTAAAGAGGGCTCAACCCTGAGAAAGCAATTAATTACACTAAGAAGCTAAACAAGAAAAATTATGTGATCACATCAACAGATGAAAAAAAAAAGCATATGAGATAATACAATAGTAAATTAAGAATAGGGCAAGTTCTTTAACTTGATAGAGAACATTTATCAAAAAACCCCTGTAACTAAGCTCATGCTTAATAGTAAAACTGACTAGAAGTTCCCTTGCTAAGATCAGGAATAAGACAAGAATATCTCACCACAACTTTTCAAAACTGTGCTGGAATTTCTACTATGCAATTAGATGGAAAAAAAAATGAGAAAAAAAAAGGTACAGCGATTGGGAAGGCAGAAATACAATTCTCTTGTTCATAGGTGACACGACTATCTTTGTAGAAAAGATGAAAGGATTAACAATAAGCTTCTGGATAATATGTAATTATAACAAGATTCAAGGGTATGAGGTTAATATACAAAAGTCAACTGCTATCCTATGTCCCAACAATGAAGAATTGTTCTTATACAGACATATAAACAACTGACAAATATAAATAAAGCAGTAAAATGGGCAGACCAAAAAAATACACTACATGGGACCCTGGGTCCTTAAGGAAATGTAACACAAGGAGAGAACAACTACCCAGAATTCAATCATAAAGTCACAGTGAGGTCATCTACTATCCTGCATACAATAAACATATTTTCCATAACAAAAACTCAAAGAAATGAAAAACTGAGAAAAGTCAAAGTGGTAACAGAATTCTGAAAAGCTAATTAAAGAGATATAACAAAATTCAGAAAAATAAGTGAATGATATGAGAAATAAAATTAAAGAGCAGATATTAAAGCTTTAAATAAGAAAATGATAATTACAGGATGTAAAAATAAAATCAGGAGAGATTAAAAATTCTGGAGAAAGCTATGGAAGCAGAAGAGACTAAATGGAGAATGGAATCAGTGACCCCAAAGATAATAATGCACAAAGGATCCAGGGGGTAGAAAAAAGATAAATACAAAGAAAAATAAATGCAAAAACACTTGAGAACTGTTTGACAACCTCAGGAAAGGTAACATAAGAATAATGGTTTAGAAAGGCCTCAGTGGTGGGTGTGGTGTCATAACATACCTCTCTGAAGAGAGGTAATCCTATACCTCTGAATCACAGAGAGTGCTGTAAACCAATGCTACCTCAATTACAAAAAAAAAAAAAAAGAAAGAAAAATCTAACTTTAGAACTGAGGGAGCAATGGGTGGAGGTAGATTATGGTTATGGTAGAAGATTATGGGTGCTTTGGTGATAAGCATAGTATGGTAACATATATGAGAAGATGTATATTACATCATTAAAAAATAAAAATTTAAGAAAAACCCAATATACTAACTTCTGAAATGAAAGGTATCCTTCAACAAAATAACTTTTATAATCAAGTAGATTACTTAAATGAGCAAGTAGATATTTTGCTGCTTAAAACTCAAAAAAAGAACATGTGCCTACAATCTCAAAGGTTTTATGCACACAGATATAATGCATATACACGCTATAAAATTATAAGAGAACAACAAAAATGTACAGGAGGAAGTTAGGAAATGGGTATAGGCAGTCAGTTGGGAACAGGGTGCCCCAAGTAATAAGTCCATTTATCACCGTGATTGAAAAGCAATTGCAGACCAGGAGGCTGTTCCCTACCCCACCCCCCACTAAATTAAATTTAGTGGAACACCAACATAATAGCACAATAGCAATCAACTGAAGCTGTTTTTGGAAAAGTAAAGTGGGAAAACTCAGTGAGCCTCAGTAGCGTAGGAGCCACCCTCAGGACCAGCCAATCAGCAAGAGACACAATAAGGAGACACCCAACAGTCAAACCCCCACTTCGAGCCCACTGCACCCATATAAGCACCTGGTTCTCACTGCTTCAACGGCTACCCTCTCAGGACCCCTTTCCACTGGGAGAATTTTCTGTCCTTCCTATGTATCAATAAATCTCTTGCTTTTCAGTAACTCTGGTCTCCACGTTGAATTCTTTCCTCGTGAAAGACAAGAATCAAGGAAGAGCCCGCCTGGGCTTGGACTCAGAGCCTGCCCCTCAAAAACCCTGATTCAGTATTATGACTCTTTTGAATTATTTCTCAGAGTTGAGTATTATACAAATTTCTTTGACTAAGTCACTCTCAATATTTTCAAAGATCTCCAGCCATATTTATACATAAACAGCTCACTGACATACATTTTACTGAACTTAAAAATAAAGGTTTCCCTTTTTTAAAAAGCCTATAAGAAAATTACTTCTTCTAACAGAAAGTAATGAATATATAATATCCATAAGGAGAACATTTGAATTTAAGTAGTAAGACCTCCTTTTCCCTGAAATGACCTCATTCCCCTAAGTTTCTATTATAATAGGAATTCTATTATATTTTAATTTTGATAAAGTATTCACAGTAAAACTTTTGGGAAATTCCAAGAATTATTTTTTGGATTTATTAAGTACTTCTTCAAATTTAAATTTAATGTGACTACATTTTGATGTTATATTCTCAAATGAAATATACTAATATATTCATAAATACATAATGAAATTTCAAAAAAATTTTTTGAAAGGATGAAAAGAAATTACCCTAACTTCCAATTAAATGTCTAGTTTTCAAGATCAGTGTATCATAAGATTAAGTAGTAAAAGATTTTGGGATATCAGGAGATGATTTCACTATTTTATAAAAAGTACTCCTCAAAGAATTTAGATGTAAAATATAACAATGCCATCTGATTCAATCATTTCAAATCTCTGTTGAGGAAATAATAAACAATGAGTGAGTGAACAATACAATTCCTGAACCTGAGCTCATGTCACATTTCTGAAAGGAATGTGAAGGAATGTTTAGACAGCTGGAAACAAGAGTAGTCTCTGAGAGATAGTAAGCAGAATAACCATTAAACAAACAGGATAAAAATCAAGATTTTGCTCTCCCCACTGTCATTATTGGCAAACAGGAAAAAAAATGCTATCACAGGTGTAAACCCTAAACTATTTTATTGACTTTCATAACTGATTGGCTACATTTTGCAGGTCTTTTTCAAGCTGCTCAGCAAACATGCCTATCTGGAG